TCTTAGAATATATAAAGGCCTTTACGGCCTGTGAACCCTTTCATGCTGTAAAAAAGCGGCACGGCACTCGAAGCTAACTCTTCTTCGTGCTAGAGACAAGATTCACCTCGTTCAGCCAGACTGTCGCTGCGCTGACCTCGGTGGCCGTCGCCAGAGGCTCGGCGGGCTCGCTTCGGCCCGCTGGCTGGCCGCCAGCTAAACAGGGCCTCGCTCGAGTTTAGGGGTTTTGGGGTTTTGGGGTTTAGGGCTTTAGGGTTTTAGGGGTTTAGGGCCTAAACCCTAAACCCCAGATCCTAAACCCGGCAGCCCAAACCCCCAGACCCTAGACTGAGGACCCCACTGAAGCCGGTCCCGACTTTGCAAACCGTCACGACCGACGCCTCATGGAGGATCGTTCTAAGGAGTCCAGAATTTTAGGTTTTAGGAGCACCTTCCCATAGAAGGAGATCAGGGGTTGGAGAATCTAATTACTTTGAGGCTCAGGGTTCAGGCTTCAAATGTTTAGGGCTTAGGGCTATGGAGTTATAGTTTAGGGCTTAGGGCTTATAGGGTTGAGGGTTTAGTGTTTAGGGTTTAGGGCTTCGGGTTGAAGGTATATGGGGAACTATAGAGTTGAGGTTTGTGGTTCATGGACGTAGCTTTCAGGATGGACACTGTTGCTCTGAATTGTGGGGTTTAGGGTTTAAGGTTTAGGGCTCACGCGGTAGAACCCTGATAGAACAAAACCCTAAACCCTTCAGAAGCCTGAACGCGAAACCCTAAAACCTAAACCCTAAATTCCAAAGCCGGAAAACTGAAACTAAAGCCCAACACCAAAACCCGAAACCTTTGTAGAATCCGCAAAGAACCCTTATGGCACCCTTATTTGGAGGATCGGGGATTTCGTAAGTAGTCATTTATAGACTTAGAAGTATCATAACCCCAATTAGGATCCGGTTTGGGCTACATACTGACTCCCCCGGCCCCTCCAAGTTGTGACAAACCCCTACACCCCAAACCCTAAAACCCTTCAACCCTTAAACCCCAACCCCTCAGCCCCAAAACCCTAAACCCTAAACCCAAAACCCTAAAACCCTAAGCCCTAAACCCTAAACCCTAAAACCCTAAGCCCCAAACCCTAAAACCCTATGAAACCCTGGAAAGAACCCTGAAAGAACCCACATTATCGGGCCTCTGGTCCCGAGTTGTGGCGCTTGGCTGCGAGGAGGAACCTTGTTGTGAGGGGTTTTCGGGCTTTAGGGGTTTAGGGTTCGGGGTTTAGGGGTTTAGGGTTTAGGGTTTAGGGTGAAGGGGGTTTTGGGGTTTGGGGTTTTAGGGTTTGGGCTTTAGGAGGCTTTGCGGGGTTTGGGGTTAAGGGCAGTTTTAGGGTTTTAGGGGTTTTAGGGGCTTTGGGCGTTAGGGCTTTGGGGGTTGGGGGTTTAGGGGCTTGGGGGTTCCAGCGGTTTAGGGGTTTTGGGTTTTTGGGTTTTGGGGTTTAGGGGTTGAAGGGCTTTTAGGTTTTGGGGTTAGGGGTTTAGGGGTTTGGGGGGTGTGGGGTTTAGGGGTTTGGGGGTTCTAGCGGTTTAGGGTTTGGGGGTCTTGGGGTTTAGGCGTTTAGGGTTTGGGGCTTCGGGGGTTTAGGGTTTAGGGTGGGCGAACAAAGAATCTTGCCTTCACCTGAAGGATGGTTTGGTGTATGAAGGGATTCTGTACCGGCTTCCGAAATGAAGGTAACCGCGAGGATGCCCGCCGGGAGCCGGCGTGTGTACCAGTAGGCACTGTACGTCGAGCTTAGGGTTTAGGGTTTAGGGTTTAGGGCATGTTGCCGGGCACCCCGCCCGAGCCGGCTCCTGCACCCGGCGGATCTCGTTGATTTCCAGCTTGCGCAGGTGGCGCACAGAAGCGCACCCCTCTCTAAGCGGGCTTAAGGCTTTCGGGCCGAGCCTCAAGAGTGGACACGACCTCGAGCATCCGGATCCTCTCGAGGGCGCGGCTTCATTTAACCCGCTCAAGGCGCACCTGGCCTTCGCTGCACGATGACGTTGATCTCGCCCTGCAGCTGGGCGAGCTCTCCGAGCGTCAGCTCCCCGAGCTGGCGCTGTCGCTCATTCCTGTGCAAAACGAGTTTGGCAACGCAGCTTGCATGTCGGCCCGACCTGTCGTCCGATGTGAAGGTTTCCCGCAAAGCCGGCATGGCCTCGACCTGCCGGGAGCCGGGGCAAAAAAAAATCTCCAGCCCAACCCCCAAGAATTTATATCAATTCCATCAATTCCATCAAGTGGCTCTTCGGGGTTCAAGACGCCGGGGGGTCGTCCTGCTTCTCGGCAACCTCCATTGCCCGGCTCATTTCTCTCACTGGATCTGGCTCCAAGATCGGCCCCAAAACTGGCCCCAAGCGTGACCACCTCCCCTGCAATTACCACGTACTCCGGGGACATTGCCAGCTGAATGATATCCAGCTTAAGGGTTTAGGGTTTAGGGTTTAGGGTTTCTAAGCCCTAAACCCTAAGACACCCCACCATGGCTACGGCCTCCATTGCTGTGCCTGTCTCTGGAAGCTAGCCTTCACTATGCTGTCCTAGCTGTTCCTTGCTGGATGGGTTTAGGGTCTAGGGTTTAGGGTTTAGGGTTTAGGGTTTAGACCTTAAAGGCTTAGGGTTTAGGGTTTAAGTCTGCAGCCCCTTTTGAAAAGTGCCACATCAATTTGGGTTTCCCCAAAGCCCGAACCGGCGACCTGAAACCGTGCAAAGAGCTTAAAACCTAAAGCCCTAAAACCCAAAGCCCTAAGCCCTAAACCCTAAACCCGAAGCCCTAAACCCTAAACTCTAAATCCTTGACTCCTCAAGAGCCCCGAAACCTCAAGACCCTCAAGACCGTTGAAGCCACAAAGCCCAACACCAAAATTCGCGAAAGCTCAGGGTTTAGCTGGGGTTTAGGGCTCAGGGTTTAGGGGGTAGAATTTAGGGTTCGGTTTAGAGTTTAGGGTTTAGGGTTTAGGGGTCTAGACTTTAGGGTTCGGTTCAGGGCTCAGGGTCTAGGATTTAGGAGAATTTAGGGTTCGGCTTAGGGTCGCCCACCAGCTCTCCGAAAACGTGAGACCGAGGTACTGCGCACAGTTGTCCGCCAGATCTGTGGACGTCCTGCGACGTCCGCCATGGTGTAGGGCTTTGTTTCAATGTTTGGGGTTTTGTTTAGGATTTGAGTTGAGGATTCAGGGTTCTGGGTTTGGGTTTGGGGCTTTTCTGCAAAGCGCTTTTCCCTACTTAAAGGCCCGCTAGTCTTAGAAGTAGGGTTATATGTCATGCAACTTGACTCAAGCTTGAACCCCTTAACCCCTCAACCCTGCACCCGACAAAGTCAGGAATTTTTTTACAGACTCATAAGTATCATAACCCCAATTAGGACCTCTTTTAGGGTACTTAAGCCTACTTATTACCCACTTGCTGAGTCCCCCGACTTTCCAGTAGACCCTAAACCCTACACCTTAAACTCTAAAACCCCAAACTAAACCCTAAACCCTAAACCCTAAACCCTCAACCCTAAACCCTAAACAACCCTAAACCCTAAACCCCTCAACCCTAAATTCCAATGGGCACCCTTTAAAGGAGGTTTTTCCGTCTTCATTAGGAGACCTCCACAAAGGATCGGCCGGTTGCTGCTTGAATTTCGTAGAACAGAGTCTAAACCCTAAACCCTAAACCCTAAGCCCTAAACCCTAAACCCTAAGCCCTAAACCCTAAACCCTGAACCTTGACCCCACAGCGTCTAGGGCTTTGGAGCCGGGTTTTAGTGTGTGGAGTTTTGGGGCTTTAGGTCTAAACTTTAGGACTTCGGCTTTAGGTATGCGGGACTAGCATGCGGGGAATGAAGGTTCGAGGTCTCTTGGAAACTGTGCCCTAAACCCTAAACCTTATACCAGAAGCCGAAGACCCTCGCACCGGAAGCAAACATCCACACTCGTAAACCCTTGTAGGAAACCATCAAAATAAGTTAATGTAGGGGCCTTAATAATTGGACTACGGTTTTGGAGGTATGTTATACTATAGTTATGATAAGGAATCCCCAAAATAGTATAGGTGACTATTAACGCCCCTGTATTATAAGACCCTATATAAACCCTACAAGTTAGATCATTGCCTGGAGTGCCGGCTACGTTGTGGGGATAAGTAGGGTTTAAGGTTTTAGGGTTTGGGGTTTTCGGGAGTAAGGCTTAGAGCTTTTAGGGCTTAGGGTGTATAGGGCCGAGGGCCTAGGGATTTATAGGGGTGTATGGCTTAAATAGCAACCCTAGACCTGCAGATTTTAAGTGTTCGGCAGTGCTTGGAGGGTCGGGGGACTTAGAAAGTAGTTATTTTATAGACTTATAAGTATCATAATCCCAATTAGAGTCCCTTTTAGGTTACCTACAAGTCTACTTATTAGCTACAAGTGGGGTTGTGTAGAGCAAGCCAGGATTGAAGCCAATATGAATCCTTAATATGCAAAGCGATGGTAATCGGGGAATAGCGGTACGTCCGGAGGCGTGCAACATGCGCCCAATACTGGAAGAAGGCATTGGACTGAACCCCAGGCCATTGCCGATGTCCAACCGCTTGCGCGACCATCCGGCTAGCGCGTCGGCGGCAGATCCAATTAGAAGTTTGAGTCACGAAGGGATCAGTGGCGAGACCGCAGGTAGACGTTAGAAATGTGGTCTGCGTAATAAGCAGCATGATGTGAACATCAGCAACAGGACGAAGGCAGGGAGAAAGCCAGCGCCATTTGGATGTGATAGATGTATCGAGAAGATGGAGGCGGGTTTTAAGAAGTCCTGGTCGTTTAAAAATGTTGTAGTGGCCCCAAAAGGAGTTCTGAGCGAGCGCGAGCCTGGCACTGAGTACCGCTTGACAAGAGAAGCGGAAGCGCGAGCTTTCTCCTGCAATCACGGTAGAAATGCGCTTTTGGTCCTCAGACCCCCTGAACCCTAAACCCGAAACTTCAAACCCTCCAAGCTCTAAACCTTACACCCGAAAACCCTAAACCTAAACCAGAAGCTTGAAACCCCCAAAGCCCGAAGCCTCACACCCGAAAACCCTACAAAAACCTAAAGCCGAGACTTGAAGCCCTCAAAGCTCTAAGCCTTACACCCGAAAACCCTAAACCTAAAGCCCAAACAGCGTTGCGATTTGAGAGGTTTTGGAGGCTTGAGGTTCATGCCTTGAGGTGCCGGTTTCGGGGGTTTAGGGTTTCGGATTTAGGGTTTAGGGTTTAGGGTGTAGGGTGTAGGGTTTAGGGCTAGGGTTTAGAAGCCCTAAACCCTACACCCCAGAGCCTTAAAAACCTTTTGGGTAGTTCTCTAAATTCTGGTCCCGCAATCCTTTTTATAAAGGGTGCCGTACTATTTCGGTGACCTAAACAAGGGACCATAAAAAGAACTACCTAAACCCTAAACCTTTCACTGGTTGGAAGGGGAGACAACGGGCCAGCAAAAGCGACTCCGTGCCTCCAATGCGAGTCCTCACCTGCGTCTCAGTTCGCGCGCCAGGGTGGTCCTAGCCGCCAACGACATTAACGTCCAGTTTCTCTGGACATCTGCCAAAAACCAGACAGGGCCGATGTAACTAGCCGCGTATTGCAGCAGTGGATCAGCGCTACTCTGAATCACCACTTGTTGGAGCATTGCTCAGCTCGCTTCCCGACGTCCAAGGGCTCTCAGGGAGAAACATTTGCGACGGCGCCGCGGCCAGATGGAGAGGCCGCAAAGCCGCTCCATCTGGCGCACAGCTGAGACCAAAGACCGTGTAAGATCACGAAGGCACATTGGCTCCATGAACCTCCGCGGGGCTGCTGACAACTGTCCGGCCTTCTCCAAAGAGGTAGGGGGAACAACCCCAGTCTCGACAACGAAGTGGTTCCAGATTGGTGGCCCCTATTTTGGCCCGTCCATCGTTTGTGGTGATTTCCCATTCCAGACGTTGTGCCCAGGCCCATATGGCGAACGTGTACCATGGCGGCCATGAGCAAGCTATAGGAGAACTTCTCTGCGAACCGCGGGCAGCTGCCAGTGAAGCCAGGGGCCGTGCTGTTGCTGTTTCCAAGCCTGCAAAGCTGTAGCAGTGGTAATGGCGGAGCTGGGAGCAGTTTCAAAGGGGGCCACAGTCGCTTCCACACTACATGCCTCCTGTTCACGGTGGTGCATGTTCAACAGCCGTACTTCCTCCTTTGACAACTCAAGCAGGAAACGCCAGAAAACCCAGAGCGCGTCGCGCTGCGCACTTTGCCACTCTGCGGTCTCATCTGAGTGTTGCTTCACAATGTGATAGTCGCTCTTTAAGCTACTCTTGGCAGCTTTGTCAGCAACGTCATTTCCAGCCGCGCACCACTGTTCCATGCCCCAAAGACACCTCAAGTCCTGGTGGGCCGCTATCTTTCTAACTCGGACATTCTGGATCTCCAGGTCATTGAACTCTTGCGAAATGTCCGGCCAGAGAGCAGGGAGGCCCTGCTGTAGACGATCCCATTCATTCAGCGCAACCTGACTGTCGGACCATACCTCGGCCGGGCAGTTGTGAGCGTTGGCAAAGTTTCACAGCCTGCAGAATCCCATACAGTTCAGCGCGGTGGATGTTCTGCTCACCTGGCACCAAGCCAAGGCAGTGGACCCTGAAACACGGCGGGAGGGTCCCGCCGGACCGCCACTGGTGCAACCAGGCGGGCACCTCTGTGTCTGCAGTGGACGTGTCAACAATGACAGCGAAGCTCGCCCGAGACGCCAATGGCAAAGTAGGATGGACACAGGACCCATCCGTAAACATCCAGAGAAATCCTCTGGGGCCTGGAACTCAAGCTCCCGAGGCAGTGGCAATGGATGGGGCAGGCCTCGGGAGTGGAATATCAAACGGTTGACCTCAGTATGCGGCGGGCAAACCGCAAAGGGTCCGTGACACCAGTGGGGCCAATTATCCATGGCATGCTCAAGGAAGGCCGCATGGGGGCGCCGGACAGCATCAAGGGCAGGACACTGCAAAATCTTGTGCACCTTGGTTTGTTTGCCTCCACACAGCGGGCACGCTTCAGGTATGTCTTCATCCCATTTGTGCTTAGCTGCAGCGGAGCCAAAACTGCCGGCAATGTGGCGCGCAATGATTTGTTGCTCATTCGGGGAGAGCTTTTGAAAAAGGCGACCAGTGTCCGCTGGCAGCGGCGGGTCAATCTGCTTGAGTCCATTCCGGTGACACACATTGCTCGCAACTTGAAAGGCCCACGCACGTTGCACAAGGTCCCGTAAGGATTTGCGTCTGCATTTGTCCAGATGCAAGCGGGAATTGTCCGGGCCCTTAACACACGCGTCAGCAGACAATGAGACGCCCAAACGCGGCAGGCAGAGGGCGAGGGCGGTAGCCGGTCCACAGCTGCGCTTCGCTCTTCCCGGCTCCGTGGCCAGTGCAAGGACGGACACGGCCGTCTCCGGACGCACGTCGGAGGGCCTCAGAAGCTGTTGGAGCACTGCGTAGGCTTGCGGTCCATGACATGGCAAGTGATTGCACCCAACACCAAGAAAGGGGAGCCAACCTTGTTCCTGCCCAGAATTGCGGTGGAGGCCCGACTTCTCAGAGTTTGGAACAGCGCCTTGGGATGGCAGTGGCTTTCACAGCCATACAGGACAGAGGGCCAGATGCCTCTTTGGATCATGGAGGCCTTCTCGCTGACAGGTCTGGGCTGTTCGCGCAACCTGTCAAGCTTTGCGACTGCATCTGGTAGGCGGGCATCCCGCTGAGGGGCGTGGGCCCTACGGTCGTAACTGTAGACAGCACCCAGATCAGTGGCGACGGACACACAAGGTATCTGATCAGCAGTGGGGAACATCTGTTGCCCGTCCTTCTGCAGCCAAACCCGATCCGCACGTTGCACGGCCCAACAGTAAGACTTCTTCCAGTCCACTGGGAGCCGCAAGGCACTCAAGAACTTGAAGGAGAGCTGCAAGTTGGCATCTAGTCTAGTCTGTCACCGGTTTGAGCTGCCCAAGCCCAATTGTCAACGTAGGTGTCAAAGTCAACCCCTGAAACACACAGGTGGCTAGCGAAACGAGCAACTGCAGCCATCACCGCAACGCTGAAAGGGTCTCCTTCAGGCGCGCCGTTCCAGCACGGGAGGCCAGGGC